TGAAGAAAATGTGCACATACTCAGTGGGATGTAATTCTGTTAAAGATGGAATTGCAACAGGGGAAATCCTGTGATTTGTGAGATCATGGCTGAACCTTGGGGACCTTATATTAAATGAAATAAGCCAAATACAGAAAAGTACCCCATGATTTCACTTCTGTGTATAATCTAAAAAGATGAACTCTCTGAAACAGGGTAGCATAGAACAAGATAACGGTTAAAGCAGAAGAGGGTGTGAAGGGAGTTGATGCATGATATTGTTAGACAAGAATAAGTTTCAAGGATGTACTGTCAGCTATGATAATTGTGGGTAATAACAGTATGCAGATATTCTTGCTAAGAAAATATATTTTCAGTGCTCTTATCACCAAAAAGAAAAACAAGTTTATGATGTAACACGCGTGTTAGATTGATTTAGCCATTTTCCAAATGCTACATAGTTCAAGACCGTATTCTGTGCTCCATAAATGTATATACTCATTTGTCAAATTCAAAAAGGTACCAAATTGCATGAAACCATCCCAAATTAGCTTTTTTTTTTTTGTCTAACTGGATATTTACAGATGTGATCCAAATAACCTGAAGATATATCCACAGCATTTCCCTCAATTGACATATCCACATATGACTCCCAGGAAAGTGTTGTCCAAGAGTGATATATTCTAGAAATAAGGTTTTTCTTTGGAATATTATATCTAATATTTATATATCATCTATTTTGGGATGAAATTCTTAGTTTAGGAATGTATTAATTAGGGACATCATCATTTTGGATCAGTGGGTTAAGCTGCCACCTGTGATGCTGCCATCTGATAACGGAGCAGTGTTCAGTTTTCAACCAAACATCTGCTAACACACCTGGAATAGCACACATGAGGTCATTGCAGCCATTGGGGAGTGGGCCAGTGGATGGACAATACGTTCTGCACTTTGTCATTCTACCTTTCACATAATTAAGTTTAAAAAAGCATGTATTGATTTTAATGCATTTTAAGAAAAATAGCATATCTACTCAGTGACTTTCAAGCATGCAGCAGGTGAGCTATCCCTGTTTGCTGACCGGAAGCGTGTCAAGCTTCAGAAGCTTTTTATAAATCATACTGTGCTATTAGGGAAAGTGACATAAATGCTTTTTCTTGTCTTATTCAAAGGATAATTTATGTGTTGTACAGCTCTTTGACTTCCCTGGACCTTGCTGTCCAAAATGTGGCAATTTTGTTCAACATTAGCAGAACATTAATTTACAAGACTCAGATCAAGCAATTTTCCTAGCAAAGGGTTGCTGAAGGTAAATGGAGAGGACAGTGAATCATTTGAGGCTTAAATGAGATCCTTTTTGGATTGCCTGTAGATTTTCGTCATGGCCTTCACTCTCTTCCCATAATTAGTAGTGGGCCATTAATGGCTGGCTGGCTGGCTGGCTGCCCTATCTCCTTCAGGACCTACTACCTTTCAAGTGAATGCAGTCAAGACACATTCTACCTGATTCTAGCCTGGACCTCTGGTAACATTGCAGGCATTGGCCAGGGCAAGAAGAGCCAAGAACCACAATTTGGTATTTTGTTCTTTTCCCTGGTTTCCTTTCCCTGGCTCACCTTGGGAAACTGCACCTGGGAGTTCATGGTTGTCATAGAGATCATCAGATGCCATCATGACTGAGTCCATTGTATCAGCTTAAAAGCTGTCTTCAGTGGCTTTCATGTCTGTTTTTTCACTTGTCTGGTTTGATTCCTATTTCCTTCCTTCCTTCCTTCCTTCCTTCCTTCCTTCCTTCCTTCCTTCCTTCCTTTCTTCACTATGTCACCACAGTTTAGCCTCTATATTCTGTTTGCTTTCTATATTTTCTTCTGATACTCTTGGGGCAGGGTTTTCATTCTTTTGCAAATCTTTGACACTATGGGAGAAACGACTGGTTAAGTTGGTTTACTAGCTATACCTCTTAAAGCAGAGCCATCAAGCTGGAGGGTCTGAAAATGTATTTGAAAAACAGCTTTGGTTGTGTCACAGGTCAGACTTAGGTAGACACAGTGCACAAAGTTCAACCAAACTTGGCTCCCCATTGGTTTTCTTCATTGCCTACAAATGTCACCACACCATCAACACTAGTGGCATACCCTGCTTACTATTTTCATCCCCATCAGCCCTGGCAACCTCTTTGAAACAAACAATTTTTCATGCTCTCAGAGCATCTTTCTTGCCTCTCCTGCCAATGCATTTGAACACAAGGCCTTGAATATTTATTTGTTTTGTATACTTGGCATTATAGGACTCTCAAAATGGCACTGATTCTTTTCTAACAAACTTTCTCCATGCTGCCTCATCGTCTTAAAAAAAAAAAAAAGACAAAAAAACAAGTCACCGAGAATTTGAAAAATACCCAGAGTCTTGGGTACATCTTCAGGGTGGGGCAGGCACATTCCTCCAACAGACAGAGTTGCTGCTTTACTTTTCTCTCTGCCTGCTTAAACTGAATCAGAGAGCAAGCATCATGCCTCTTTCAGGTGGATGCCGTCATAAGCAGCAGTAACTGTGAGAGCTGGTGCAGGGCTGTGTTACACTGTTTTCTTAGAATTTTGATTAACTTAATGGATTTTTAGCTGATGGGGACAACACTGATGCGGAAACTGCTGGAAAGTGAACCAGATCCACTTGGGAACTGAGGTCCCTTTTGGGCTAGGATAACGCGTTCATGGCTTTTAGTGTTTCTCCACACTGCTCATTCTCATTTGGAATCTCCTTTCAAAATTCGCCCAATAATCTCCGGTTTTGCAACCCACAGAATCCATCTTAAGAGTATGGCCATGGTTTGTTCTTCACCAATGGGACTGATATCAGCATAGGTCACGGCTCTGATATCCAAGGAATGTGAAGCAAGCAATATTACAATGTTCATCTTCTTATTCTTCTTGTGTCCAGTCCTCTATTTTTCCAGGCTGCTTTTAATTTATTATTATTGTTATTATTATTATTATATGATAGAGTTCCATAAGTCCTGAGATTTCCCTTGCCATCTCTCCAAATCCCCTCCCCCCTCTGATTTTCCTCTATATTATTACAATAGTATATATTATATATAGTTTACTAGTATATAGTATATATTCCTAAACAGTCAAAAGTCCATCATTCTGCTATTAAAGTTTATATTCACATTGCAGGTATGGACAATGGCAGAAAGTCCAGCATCCTATTGTCATGATATATTTACCAGTTTCATTGACAGTCCATCTTTGATTTGGAAGTAGAGATGCATACCACATTGTATCCCCACATCTGGAACTTGTGTGGTTGCTAAGGACTTAGATTGGCCCATGGGTGCTTGAAGGTTGATAGTTGGCAAACAAAATGGAAAAGCTGGATATCTCTGACTTGCTATTCTTATTCTTCAGTTAAATTTCTTTCTTTGACATGCTTGCAGTGATGTCACTCAGACGTTTTAGTTTTCACTTAGGGTATGCCTGTGCTTTGTTCTAATACTGAGTTCAGAAATTGCCAGGACCTTATATTCACGTGTAGATCTCTATATACTAAAGGTTCATACTTCTTTCACAGTATATAGATTCAACTTTAGAGCAGCATATCTATCCGAAAACATATTATTGTGTGAGAACAAAATGGCTCCCAAAGAGAGGACTTTGCCTCAAAGAGTGGGCATTGCATGGGGTGGCATGCTCAGAAGTACTTCCTCCATGGGTAAGAAGAGAAAATGGTGGCAGAAATGGAAAGGAAATATGCACTTGCCATGTCTGTAGCATGTCAAGACATCAACTTCCAAGAACAAAACAACTCCATAAAAAATGCTTCTGTTGCTTGCACTCAGGAAATACCTGTTCATCATCCCCTGCTAAATAGAAATGGCTTTAAGCCTCTTCTCTTTGAAATTCTCTCAAATCTGTTATTATTCAGGGCCTATCCAATTCTCATCAAATTGTCCTATTTGTAGCTTCCAAGCGGTAATGCCTCTATACAGAAACGGAGCCTATAAAATGCTTTAGGAACGCACACTGTATGAGGCAGACTGGATTTAAGCCTTTAATGAAATGATGAGCTTTGAAACTGTTGCATTCCGGCTTTTCATATTCTTTCTTCCCTTCCTGTGTGTGTGTGTGTGTGTGTGTGTGTGTGTGTGTGTGTGTGTGCACACGCGTGGGAGGGCGAGTTAGAGAATCGAAGGGTGGAAATTGCTCTTCATATATATTCGCTTCATTTAATGTCTTCTCTTTTAAAATGTAATTTTCCTGTTATAAAAATAATTATTAACATATCGCCATCTATAAACTTTGTCCCCCCCCCGCCCCCGACTCTCAAAGCTCTTTTTACCTACAGTTCTAATTTAGCATGAAAGTGAAATATTCTTCTGTGTGTCTTTTCTGATCTGTCCTCAGAAAAGCGAAAGTGAAGAATCAGAGAAAGGGGAAAAAAACCCCCCAAAAAAAACAGGGTAGAAAAGAGCTTGGACGAGGAAAGGCAAGATCCAAGTCCCCGGGAAAATGAAGACGCACTGGTTTATCCGCGCGCAGCACAGCGCGGGGGGGCCCCTAGCGCCCACTGGTGCTCAGAGCTGCCAATCGGGGTGTAATCCTGTAGGAATTTGTCCCGGGTTTATCTGGGAGTCACACTGCCGCCTCCTCTCCCCAGAGTCACCGGAGGAGCCAAGAGAAGCAAGCTCCAGAGGGAGGGAGGAGGGAGGGGGAGCGGGAGGAAAAGATCAGGAGGAGAAGGAGGAGGAGGAGGAGGAGGGCCCGGGGAGGGAGGCGGCGGCGCGGGAGGAGGAGGAGCGCTGCTGCTGAGCCACTAGCCCGGCTCGGACGCGCTCCTCTCCAGATACTCCGGGAGCTGCTGCCGCGCGAGTCGCGCGCCCCCTCCGTTCTGCCCCCAAACTTCGGTTGCTTCAGCCTTTCGAGCCGTCACATTTCATCCCGAAACCCAGGAACTGAACCGCCTACGGGGGGAAGGAGTCGGCGGCAGCCTAGAGGGGGAGAAAAACCACCGAGGAGCCAGAAAGAGCTCCAGGGAACAGCCGCCTCGGAGTACCAACTCCGTGTCCAGGACCAACAAGTGAGAGGGCGCCGCGGCGTTCCCGGGGCGCAGCGCGGACGACGGGAGCAGGCGCAGGAGGAAGCAGAGCACGCCGGAGCCCTCGAGCCCCCCGGAATTGCCGAGCCCCCCAGCTCCCAGGAGCCGCTGTAGCTGCGGCTGCTTCGCTCGGGATCCCGCCGCGCCGGCTGTGCGGAGCGCTGGGCAGCAGGCTGGTTTCGTGCTGGTGGAAAGCAGAGGCTAGGAGCAGCCGTTCCCGGGGGAATATGCGGCGTGCGTGGATCCTGCTCACCTTGGGCTTGGTGGCCTACGTGTCAGCGGAGTCGGTGAGTGGGCTAGGTGGCAGACGCTCGCTCTCACCATTTCGGGTACTTGGGGGCCGGGTTGGAAGTCGGGGGCGCCCTTGGGGAGTGCCACCTGGGGCACCCCTCGCTCCTCCCACAGTCCCCACTTTCCCTCGACTCGCGACCCTCTGCCGCACTTGGTCCCTAGGGAGCTTCTGGGGGTGAAAGCGCAGGTTCCGCAACCTCCTTTCCGCCGGCACTCACAGAAAAGCATGGCTTTGGGGAGAGTTGCCCCTCCGTCCCTGGTGATAGGGTCTTTGGAATCGCAGTTTTTACCTCACCGAGCGGGCTCCCCCGAGGTCGCCTCTAACTTCTTGGGCTCCGGGAGTCTTCCTGCGTGTTCCACAAGGGACAGAAGGGAAAAGGTGACCCGGGTCGGAAGCCCTGGCAGGGCACGCCAAGAATCAGATCTGCTCCGTGCGCCACCCCTCACCCCCATCTTCTGGCCAACCCCAAGACCCAGGAATGACTTGAAAACTTTAGGGGAGACGGGACTCAGATTTAAGAAATCCCGGCATGTCCAGAGAGGAAACTTTGCGAAAGTTCTTTTGTTTAATGCTCCCTGAGGCTGGGGTGAGGTAACAGACACCAAATGGAAATGCATTCGGCGTCCATGCAGAGGGTGCTGGGGTGCGTCCTTGAAAATGCCTGAGTGCCACAGCCTCGAATCCCAGTTCCCGGCGCCCGTGTCCTCGTGAAGGGGTGAGAGGGCAGTCCCGCGGGGCCTTGGGGGCAGGAGGACATTTTAACCGGGTTGTAGTGGCGTGCGGCCGCCAGGGCGAGAAGGGGTGCCTGCGACACTGTGCTTTGCTCGGCGTGGTCTGGCTTCACACACCGGGGCTTCCCTCTCCACACTTGGCCTGGCCGCCCAGCGGTGCGCTTCCCCCAGCCGGGACGTGTCTCCCCAATCGGGCGGGGCCGCCTGCGGGCACCCAGCCTCCCTCTCCGGAGCTGGCTGGGGGAACTTGATTTCCCCTTTAGGATGCGTTTCTGGGGCTGGAGCTGGTTTCCTTGCGAAGCCCAAGGAGCGCCCTCTAATGGGAACTGCCTCCTGGGCCTCTCCTCGGCCACTGCCTGGCCACTCACTTGGGCTCTGGCAGACCAGGTGGCAGCCAGTGCACCCCTTATTCAGTTAGGGAAAGAGGGCATTTTAGTATTCCATGCCCCCTCTGTTTGCCACTTAATAATGTATGCGTTCCTACTGAACTGTTTCTTCCAAGGCGAATTACTGTATGTCATCTTTAAGTGGTTTGTGAGTGGTTTTCCTTCGTATGTATGTGCGTATTTATGTAAGTATGTGTCCATTATGTGCTTTTGAGCCCAGACAGTTTAGGCTTGGGAATCCTTTGACATCAAGCAACTGAAGGGCGTTGGTACTCAGTGTAGGAGCTGCTGTGGGTGCTCACAGGTCCCTTAGGCTCGGTGGCAATGATGAATGTGAGAGAGAACTCTTGGTCTTAGTACTTCTGCCCGGTAATGGGTGGCAGAAATCGTTGGGGTTGGTATTCTCCCAACTAGGGATGAACTTTGCCTCCTTGCTCACAAAAGCTAGCGGATTCTCTTGTTTATTTTAAGGGGGAAAATGTTGCTCATCTTGTTGCAATACAGGTCAAAGGGAGAGTTTTCTCTTTTTTCCCCCCCTCAGGCAGCCTCACTACAAAGCTGAAAGGAGGTTAGGAGAACTTTGTATGTTCCCCCTTACCTGTTGAGGGTTTAGTGGGAAAGATGGCTGTCTGGAGATGTTAGAGAGAAAGCCTGTCTCCCTCTTCCGCCCCGTCGGCATTTTGCATGAATTTGAAGGTGTTTCTTCGGGATGGGTCCTGGCTGGACTGTACGTGCCCTCCCCACGGTAACTCTCCCTTCAGATCAATATCTTTGTGGTTCTGGTGTTTCCACATTTGAACCGAAACTAGACAGTTTCTGAGTCAGCTGCTTCCTTGTGCAAGACACAGGTTTTTGGAATTGGAGTATCATCCAAAAACGCAACGTGGAAACTGTCGGTGAGACAGTAAGTCGGGCTGTTTCAGCGTCACTCATTTCATACGTAATTGTGTACATGTCCATGCGGTTGCAAGACAGTTTTTAAAAATTCGGCTGTTATGGAATATTCTGTTTAGGCTTTGGTTGCATCTTCATTCAGAAACAGCAACCGTTTTTTTAGGATTTGGAAGTGGTGATTGATTTTAAAGAAGAAAGCAAAATGTCTGCAGTTGGTAAATTCTTGAGTATCACCTCGCTGGGGGAATGAACATGAAAATGAGCGGGCGCCTTTCCTGACGGATGCTGGAGATGGCAGGCAAGCGCGTGGTCCATTCATACACTCTGCTGGCCGGTCCGGCTTGCAGGAACACTGGGCAGAGACCGACCGAATGTGGCAGTAGCGATATGCTGCAGGCTTTCCATCTTTTTTTTTTTTTTTTTAACATGACTGTTTATCTTTAGAAATAATATATTGCAGACCGCTGCAAACACTTAATTTGATCTGGAAATATGTTTAAGAAAAGGAAGTGTTTTGAACCAGTGGAATTTTATAAACAAGCTTAGATCTCTGTAAATTAAAAAGAAACTGTCAAGTCATTTGGACTCATTCATTACCTCTCAGTGTGTTATGAAAGTCAGGCTCTGGGAAGTTTACATTGGAAGGGAAAATAAAATGGAAGTCATGTAACCTTTTGCAGTGATTTGAAAAAATATATATATAGTTTGACTGCTGTGGTCAGGAAGCAGATTATTTTTGTTAGGGAATTTTTATAGAGAAGGGCTGTGTCTCTGTCAGCTGGATAGGAGAAGGAGGAGACATGCCATTGAAAAAGGTAAGGTCTGAAAAGATCAAATAGGTAGAAAAGATGAGTGTTGAAGCAGGGATTGAGCATACCTCGCATCTCCTGCCGCTGGGATTCTGTTTACCCAGTCTCAATGGTCTCAGTGGTGCCCACGATTCAAAGGGTGGCCTGGAAGGTACAGGGACATGATGAGTCAGATGGTGCCTTGGATGCACATTACTTTGAAAAGGCTCTCAGAAAGTCAGCTTATTTTTCCCTGGGTGGAACTCTGTAAATGGGTCTCCGGAAGCCCCCAGAGATGTTTGTCCAACTGCAGGTGGCTTGGGGCCTCTTTGGGTCGGCAAGGCTCCTGAGCCAGCCACAAGAGTTCCTCCAGCTCTGTCATTAAGATTTGTAGGGAGTCCAGTCAAGCACACTTCTCTGCTTTGACTTTTTGAGTGGACTATACCAGCAATGGCATTTTATTCTAATCTTTTGGACTTGACTTGGAAGGAAAACCTCTACTTTCATCTTGGTTGACTTTCATGTCCATTGGCCTTTCCCTCCACCTGCTCAGGGTGACAGTGGTTGGCAAACTAGTCTGATCTCTCCTGCCTTCTTGGAACTTGCATTCTAGTGAACAAGTGATTACCTCCGAGTCACCCCATCCTACTTCCATTTTCTCTTTTTTTGGGGTGAGATTTGGGACTTACAGTAGCCTTGTGGTAATCATTCTTGTTTGGTATGTTCTCTCCCACTTTTTTAGTGGCCCAGACACCTTGATGTGTCCTTGTTATCAATGTGTGGAGTCTGCCAATGTTGGAATTTGCATGCTGTTCTCTGAGAGCACTCCTTGTTAGTCATCCCCTTTGCTCCTCGTCTCCCCATCATGTCTCCTGGCCCTTTCTGTCTGGTGTAACTGGTCCCTGTCTTGCACATGCCCTGCATATAGCCAGCTCTTTAGTGTTTCTCATTTTAAACTGTGTCATTACTCTAAGGTCCCTGTGATGCTTCATGACTGATCCAACCTGTTTCTGTGTAATTCTTCTGTAAATAGTTAAGACAGACTGATGATCAGAATCCCTGGAAATCTATGCCAATACAGAATTCAGAGTTTGCTCCTGGAGCATCTGATCAGAAGCCTGAATGGGGGTGGAGGGTGGGGATGATCTGTAGTTTTATGAAATATCTCAGATGATTGTAATAAGTTGTCTTTGTTTGGGAATCACTGGTCTGGAATAGTGGTGTCACCCCTTAATTACACGCTCTCTGTGTTATTACTGAAGATTCCAGGAGTATCTGGGATTACAGTCCAAAGGGCTTGGGCTTTGGGGAAATGGACAAGTTTGGATTCAAATGCTTTTATTTTCCCACTCAATGTGTTAGAATTTGGACAAGATAATTAAACACTTAGTCATTTGAATAAGTGTGTGTGTGTAAATAAATTGGACTTGAGGATCCCTACTTTTGTAAGGATAAAATGAAGGAGCTTGTGAATGGGGTTTGAGGCATACCAGGTGCTTTGCGTGATTTTTCTTTCTATTTAAGATGTTGGTTAAGGCCTCTTAAACTCCTTGACTTTCTGGAGAAGCAGGTTTTCTCAGCCACCAGAGTTGGCACTGTCTGAGAAGAACCCTGTTTCCATACCTCTGACCCCTGAGCAGTCCTGAGTTCAGACAGGGAGCTGGGTTAACACCTGTTGATTTCTATGTTCCTAAGTGCTGGTACTGTTGGGCTAGGAAAATTGTGGAGTCACTTGGTGCTCCTGTTGAAGTTCTGCTGGAAGCATCCGCAGATGGCAGTGTGGTCTAAGATCAGCTAAGGAGGCCAAGCCAGTGTTAGACTTGGGTACTTTTTCCAGGTTTGATTCCTGTAGAACTCGGCTTCATCAGCACTGCAGGGTGGGAGTGAAGAATAAACAAGACATTGATGTACAGTTCCAACACATCCATAGCGCATGTCAGACTACCTTGGGCTGGGAGATGCCAGGATGGTGCAAAGAGGGTTAGCTCATGTCACACCCTGCTGGTCGTCTAGAATGAGGTGGCAGGGCAGCACAGGGAATATTGGCACCCTGCTGACAGAAAAGGAGAGTATTTCTACTTTTTAAGGGTACAAATGCCTGAAAATAATTCAGTTCGGTTTCTAGTTCTACTATTGAGAAGCCCGAGTACATTTTCGCATGTCTGTTCCTAGGGCAGCCTTAGCTTTCACAGCAAG